CCGGGTATTGGTAAATACTAATGAATGAAGCAGACAAAGAAAAGACCACCTTTTCTACGCCGGACGGTTTTTACGAGTTTAACGTAATGCCATTCGGCCTATGTAATGCTCCCGCCACATTTGAAAGGTCGATCGACAGTGTTCTTCGTGGCCTCAAGTGGAAAACTTGTCTATGCTACCTCGATGATATTGTGTTTTCTTCCACTTTTGCTGATCATCTGCAACGCCTAGATCAAGTGCTCACATGTCTCTCCAATGCTCAACTTCAACTAAACACAAAGAAGTGCCATTTCAGCAACACAGCTATAAAAGTTCTGGGACATCTCGTTAGTGAAGATGGCATCCAGCCCGATCCGGACGAAATTTCCGCAGTCCTCAACCTTACGCGGCCCTTTCGTTCCAAAGAACTACACAGTTTCCTTGGACTCGCATCGTACTTTTGCCGCTTCATTCGCAACTTTGCAACTATTGCCGCTCCTCTCCACAAGCTCCTTGCTAGTACCGGTTCCTTCGAATGGAATGATCAATGCGAAGCCTCATTTCAAGAGCTCAAGCAGGCACTGATATCCTCTCTGGTGCTTTGTTATTTCGATGACTAGGCACCTACGATATTACACACTGACGCTAGTGGACAAGGAATCGACGCCGTACTCCTCCAGCGCGACCATGCCTTTCGCGAGAAAGTTGTCACATATGCAAGCCGCACTCTGACCTCAGCAGAGAAGAGGTACTCAATAACCGAACAAGAGTGCTTGGCTGTTGTCTGCTCCATCCAAAAATTTCGTCCATATCTACATGGTCGTCATTTTACTGTTGTGACAGACCACCATGCTCTTTGCTGGTTGTCCACAATCAAAAACTTGTCGGGACGACTTGGCCGCTGGATTCTACGATTACAATCGTATGACTTTGACGTCATTTACAAGACTGGAAGACAACACCAAGATGCCAACGCCTTGTCACGATGCCCTTTGCCGCACTCTTCGGCGCACGTCACACCCCCTTGTCCAATTGGCTATACGGAGGACGCCTCGTCGATATCATCCATTTCTTCCCTATCTTCATTCACCCGTCCGTCAGTACTTACCACTCACCAGCGAGCTGATTCTTATTGCACTGACATCATCGGTCGGCTTACCGGTGCTTCATCTTCCCCAAATGCCAGGCTTTGGAAACAACTCCGAGTATTCAAATTGGAGGACGATGTGCTATATCGATACATTTTCCACCCGGAAGGCCACCGATGGGTTCCCGTCGTACCACGCGCACTACGCACTGAAGTTCTGCGCGCTTCCCACGACGACCAAGTCAGGACACTTGGGTTACTACAAAACATACGAGCGCATCTATAGTCGATTCTTCTGGCCAGGTCTTTCCACGACGGTAGCTAAATATATTGCCTCGTGCGCACTTTGCCAACACCGCAAGCGGCCCACTACTGCTCCAGTTGAGACCCTACAACCACTTCCTTGTCCATCAGAGCCGTTCTCTGTTGTCGGAATTGACCTCTTCGGGCCCCTCCCAAACACATCAGACTGCAAGAGGTGGATCGTCACCGCCGTTGATCACTTTACCCGGTACGCTGAGACGGCCTCGATCACTTCAAAAACTGCTTCGGAAGTAGCAACTTTCTTCTTGAATGCTATTTACCTACGTCACAGAGCCTCTCGTGTTCTCTTGAGCGACCGGGCTAAGGCATTTCTTTCAAGCACGCTCAGTGAAGTTCTTTAAGCATCAAAAACAGTTCATAAAACAACATCTGGCTATCACTCACAAACCAATGGCTTAAAGGAAAGATTTCATCGCACGCTGTGTGACATGCTGTTCATGTATATCCGACCGGACCATCGCAATTGGGATGCCATACTTCTCTTTGTCACGTATGCATATATTAGGTCAGTTCAACAAACCACAGGCTATTCTCCGTTTTTCCTAGTATATGGACGCCAACCGACATCACCACTCGGCGTTTCATTCTTTTCTGGCCCCGTCAACTCTTCACCATTTGTTTTCGACCAGTTTCTGTCCTGTGTTGCTCAATGCCGTTGTGTTGCCCGTGTAAACACCGAAGCTAGCCAAGAAGATCGCAAACATCGTTACGATGCCACTCACCACGTCGTTCTCTACCGTCCTGGCAACGATGTACTTCTGTGGACTCTTGCGCGAATGCCTGGCTTATGCGAGAAGCTTGAGTCACGCTATTTTGGCCCCTACAAAGTTGTCGAACAGACCTCACCGGTGAACTACCGTGTCACACCTGTTCATGCCCCCACTGACCGACGCTGCCGCGGGACAGAGATTGTGTACGTTTCGCGTCTCAAGCCCTATCGTATGCGTTCCTTAGCGTAATTGGCGGCCAGGCTGGCCGGTTTCGTCGACGGGGGAAATCAGTGTAAGAATTCATTGGACGTCATCTTCCTCATTTGTCAATAACCATCATCAGTATTCGTTCCGTCCCTCTTCATCATCGACGCCATCTTGTGTTGCTTGAATAAAGCGTCCGCTGAACCCACGGTACTTCACTATATATATATATATATATATATATATATATATATACATACATGTGTGTGTGTGTGTGTGTCACCAGAAGAAGCGAACGAGCAAACGAAAAACAATGCTTTATTGCCAAGGTTACGGCCGGTTCCCGGCTGTAACGTTGGCAATAAAGCATCGTTTTTCGTTTGCTCGTTTGCTTCTTCTGGTGACTTATAACTCGACCCGAATCCAGGAAGACTTTATAAAGATATATATATATATATATTGTGAGTCGCATGCAAAACCCAACCAAACCTTTCATTATCAAAACATGAACATGCCCGGCCACTCATTTAATAACCTCAAAGTTATGATACTAGAATCAGGATTTCACACCAGCCATGATCGTGAACTATGCGAACCATATCTCATTCATAAATCCCACTCTGTTTCCGCTAAAATTGACCAAAACAAAGGAAAACTGGCCAGTCTTTCACTAGATTAAGAGCGATGATGCACTGGTTCCACATTGTACCGCCTGAATCACGCCTTTTAAGTTCCCCCCCTTTCTTTTTTTCAAATTTATCTTCAATCATTTCACAGTAGCTTCAATTGTACGCTCACATATCGCTAAGGTTGTTCTTATACTGCCATGCAATGCCATTACATCACTGCACTTCTATCCCTTTAACTACATATAAGCATGGTATTACATCACATGCAAGGAATTGTATGTGTGTGCCCTTCTGGTTTTTTCCCCTTTTTTCCTTTCTTTTTCTTTTTTTGAGGCACATGAGATTATACTGTTACGGGGATTACAAACACATGGATAAGAGAAACTAGTGTATTTCCAATATTTACTGGTAGATGTGACACCGCAGGGCTGCTAGCATCTTGTGCACCGAGTCCGCTTCTTCTTTAATTTTAAGTGCGAAGCATTTCTTACCGAACTTCCGCGACTTTGAGCGTATTCATCCATCTGTACATCCGTTCGTCTGTGTGATAAACATCTTCACCTCTTCATCCATAAGTCTGTGTGTGAAACATTTGTACATATATTTAGTGACATTTCATGACGTGTCGAGCAATAAAAAAAATTGAACACAGTCACCTTTCCTCCGCATGTTTCGCATAACGTCGATTCCCAGGTACGTGGTATCTGTCGAATTTTTTCTTATGATACAGATAATGTGCTTCATCTGCTTGACTACTCCATTTGCAAGTTACAGTATATCGGTCACTCCAAAAATGCATTTCGCCACCGTTTCAATAATCACAAGATGCATGTGCACTCTATATGCTTCATCTGCTGACATCTATGACACGTCGCCACTACTGGACATACTATAAAAGCCCACGTATAGCCTGGCGTTCTTTTCTAGATTTTAGGGTATGAAATTTTGGTCCCGTACTATATACGGGTCCCAAGAATTTTTGGTTATAATTAAGTTATGGCTTCGGCATAGCGGGGTGTTATCTTCAGGTGTTTGCGCATTTCTGCACTAGGTGTTAGGTAGTGTTAGCGGCGATAGCAGGCGTTAGTGTTATAAACCTATGCCAGCACATCGTTAAGGGCACTTGGCATCATCCAAATTATAAGGAGTATTAACTAGAGTGTTAATGAAGTGTTTTCGTGACCCTGTGGTAAAGAAATACGAAGCTATAGATAGGCCATGCACTCTCACATGGTTGTTAAGTGTATATGTGTGGCACTGTAGTTAATCGGTGATGTGATTAGCTGTAGGCGTGCTTAAATGGGACAGAGTGGACAAAGAAGTGACAAGGAAAGTGTGTTCTTGTTTTGGCTGCTCATTTCTTGGCCCTCATGCACTGAAGCTTCTAGTTGTAGAATATCACTCACCTACCTTAAGCTGCTTCAGAATATTCTAACATTAGTTGAAAAGGATTAGAGGGAGGCATCTTGGTGCTAAAATGTTATCAGAACTTGGACCTTTACTTAAATGCAAGATCGGGGTGCGAGTCAGGTGGGTTTCGATGAGGCAAGCGTTTTTTTTTTTCCTGTGCAGAACAGACAAAAACAACAGATTGAGCAACAAACGACACTGACGAGCTTTGTGTGCATATCTGTTTTGCGTTATTGCTCCTGTTTCTTGGTCCCCTCATCTGTGTCATGCTGAAAAAGGCTTAATTATTTATGTGAAAATTTTGTTGTTTTGGTGATGCGAGGTGAACGAATGTGCAACGACAGAGACAAAGACAATAAGAACAAGGGGCTGCTTGTCCTTCTTATTGTCATTGTCTCAGTAGTTGCACTGTGTTTCACATCAAGGTCATGGAGATTATTTCATTGCAGAACTTAAAATAAATACTTGTTGAAAGTTACAGGCCTGCTGTCCTGGCAAGGCCAGAACAAAGTGGCAAATTCTACGACACCAAGTAAAATTAAGCATGGAAAGTACAAGAAAAATTGAGTCTCCTCCACCATGTAATGAACTTTTAAAATGAAAGGCTTCCACGTCTCTGAACCTCATTTAAGCATGTGGTGTGGCCTCTCTCTGCAGACCTGCCTCAGTCGAGTGAAGACATGGCTCTTTCACCTACGGACAATGGTAGCCACCACCACCACCACCACCACCACCAGACGGTGCTCATGAACGGCACCAATGGCACTGAGGCGCCCTCCCAGCCGCAACCTGCTGCGCCAAGGGCAGTGCACTTCCAGGTCAGTGTGTTTATGACACAGCATGAGCACACTGGAAAGTAACAAAATACAATTTTTAGGGTTATAAAATCAGGCACAAGCTTGCCGTATCGCCCAAAGTCTTTGAGGCTTATTTGCCATTGAAGAGGCACAAACAAGAAGAAGAAAATAAGGACAATGTCATGGGCAGAATTTTTATCTGGAAAACAAGGATTATCGTCCTTGTCTTCTGTGTACATTCTTTTGGCTACGAATATGCCTCCAAACCCTCACCACCTAGGTTAAAAACTAGTTTTCCTCAGGACTTGAGTCGTTGCTGCAGTAATTTTCTACACTAGCTGTGAATAAAGCATCTGTGACCTCGAAAATTTTATGCATGTATGCATCTCTTGCAAGAGTAGTCTTCGCTTGTGCCGTCACATGAAAAATTGTCGCTTCACGCATGCACCAAACTGTAGCCTCTTCTTGGATCCCCAGAATGCACAGCACTTGAATGAGAGGTTCCTGCCAACACTTCCTAAACACACTGGTGTGCGGTAGCATTTGTGGAGAGACTTTGCAAGTAATGTGACATTGTACGGTAATACGCTGCAAGGGGCAGCCTTTTGGGGTGGATCTGTACGAGGTGAAAGACACGGCTGTTGTATGGGAGAAGCAGCTAAGCATGGTCTATTGGAAACTATGATAAAACCGCCGGCTTGTGTTCCTAGTGATATATTATTACAAGGTTCATGTGTCACAATTAATAATTTTAAAGAATCACGCTGAAGGTTGCACAAATATTGAGCGAAGAAACAGTGTGCTATAATGTGATGGCAACATTATGTAGACAGCTGAAGCGGTGTTCTCAATAAAGTTAATGTGTCGTCAGTTCCATTTGATGCATGCTCTTGCCTCCACCAGCCATACTTAAATGCACTCAAAATTTGATATTGCGAATCTGGATTTAATAAAATATTGGTTATAACGAAGTAAATTAAGGACGGTCTTGCAATAGATACAGTGTTACACCTTTATATAGAACTTTCATTTACAGCGAAGTGATTTTTGTGTAAGATGCAGCTTTGTTATGAGGTTTGAGTGTATAAATGCCATCAGATAACTGACAGTTTTGGTTTCGATCCGACATAATTCAATGCGTTTGATTGCACCATTGCATGCACAAGTGGTTACTGCCATATTGGGAAGATTTTTCTTGTCTGACCAGTCTATCGCACCATGCGTCAGATTGGCCCAGTGTCACATTGGCCTTTTCAGATGGCAGTGCCCCATCCTAGTTGTTCTTCACTGTCTTTGATTAGTCAAGTCACTTGTCGGCGTTTTGACTTATGGCGGTGCATTGCACAAAAGGATCTCAATTTATAGTTTGTGGTTTGCTCAGTTCACTCATATTGTCGTGCAGCCTTCAAGAACACATTTGCTGATATGAGGTTTCACAAGAGGAGCAGACTTGTTACGAATCGCACTAGGAGTCTTTTTGTCATGATGATGTCGCATGCAGGTCCCACTCTCCTCACTGCCATCTTCGACAAAAGAGGTGGTCGGCAAGAGCTCACTGCGGCGCTCCAAGAGCTTCTCGCACGAAGAGCCCGCCAATGCCTGCTTTCCTGCTGAGTACCAGAGCCTTGTCAAAAAGGCGATGCACGGTGAGGCATTTTTTCATGCAAGCTCAGACTAAATATCAACCAGGATCTGTGCATAATCTTCCACGAATCTGCAGCTAAACATTTGCCTGGCATGCTGGGCTACATTGTATTGCAGTACATTGTGGAACTAGAGCTTTCATTTCAGGCTTTCTCAACCATTGGATGTCTGGTGAGACATTCAGGCCTATGTGATGCATTGCAGCCCATGTTAATACATGCTCACATTCCTTTAGAAGGTTGCCAAATCAGTAATGCAGCACAGAATATTGACATTAATTAGGCTCTGAAAAGTCGCACTGAATCATATTAATAAGTATGCACTTAGCGGTTGAAAGGTGGTGAAATGCTAGGGGCAGGATTTCGCTATAGCGTTCAACTCTCAAAGGCGAAGCTTAAGCGTCCCCCATTTTTTTTTTTTTTTTTTTGGATCTCGCAGCTTTCTGAGCACAGCTAACTTCCAATAAATCGGCTCAGTTATTCTTAATATTGTAGATGCCTGCCCAACAAAGAAAGAGTCAAGACAGAAAAAATCAGAATATGACACATCCTTTCTAACTAATTTTCGATCTCTCACAGGGACTTTAATGGAGCTCAAGTTCAGTAGATTGGCCTGTCATATTTCATGGGTTATGACATAATGTGTTAGACATGAATGATGGGCAGGTACGAAGAAATCTGCATTAAAAAAATTGGCAGATCCTATTGTCACGGGGTCGTGACGTGGCCGAAGACAGGATACTTTGTGTTGGGATTCAACAGTTTATTTGGGCGAACCTGTGCCCGGCAAACGGAAAGTCCGATTACAGTAGCAGTCTTGCACAGATAGCAGTGAACGGAGCGTCGGCCGTCGATCGACTACTCACAAGCGGCAAAGCGCGTCGGCATTTATACTCTTGCCGTCGAATGTTCTAGCGTTATCGCTGGCAGTGGCGTAGGTTCCAGAATAATCTGTACAGTTCGCAGAGTAGGCGTGATCTTATCGAAATGATCTACTACAGTCTGGAAGCTTCTCGAAAACTGCAGGTGCAGTTTGCGCTGAGAATTGTGTAGTGTTTTGGGACGATAACAAAACTTTGGAAATGGAACGTGGCATTGCCCCCCCTCTGAAAAAGGCATCGTCCCGATGCTTTAACTAAAGATGAAAGTACAACAATAATGCAAGAAAGTACAATGAATAAATAACGATACAATAATAATACAAAAAAACACTGTTTCAGTTTGTTAACGCGCATGAAATGGCTTGAGGCGCGAGACATGGACGACTTCAAGTTGCGATCGGCGTGTAAATCGATGATATCGACAATGGAAATTGATGATATACAACGCACGAATGATAAAGGTAGATATGTCACTTTAAAATCAGCCCAATGTTAGGTGGTGGGGGTAAATGATGTCGTACATGACTTACGCGATCGTGATTATCATGTTTGGATGTCTTGTTTGCCTTTGTCATCTATTCAAGTCGCATGATACCAAATTTAGTATACAGTCGAGCCCGCTTATAACGAACCTGAGCGTGACGTGGCATCCGTTCGCTATATCCCGAAGTTCGTAATGAATGAAACACAGCTTTTATAAAATGTTACGAGTCAAAACACATACTTTTTTTGTCCCAAAAAGTCCGTGATGCCCATGTTTCAAAGAAAAGAAGCGATAAGGGTGGTCTCGAGTTCATTTAAAACGGCAGGGTGCTCGTTCGCCGAGGCCCGTGGCATAAGCTGCATGAAGCACTGGCTCCAAAGTTTTGTCGTTTTCGCAATCCGATTCCTCCAAATCACTCTCGCCTTGTACTTCATTCACAATGCCCCAATCCGTGCCCGGTTCCGCCGTGTCGGCATCATCATCGGCCCTAATTAAACCATCGCAACAGATGTCCCACCCGTTCTCCCAAGTCGGAGTCGACGACGCGCGGCGACAAATCGCCGCCGCAGTTCGGAAGCTTCAGGCTCGGCATCGGGCCCGACGTCAACAAATTCATGCTTCACGAAAACAGTTTCGCGAGCATGTAGTCATCACCGCCGCCCACAAAATATTCACCATCTCCACAGCTGAATGCCGGGACACCCGAAGTTGCAAGTTGGCTGCCAGGTGGTCAACAGCTATGAGCAAGCGCTCCGCAGATTTGGGAGAGAAGGGCAAGGAGTTGCGATAGAGTGAAGAGAGGGGAGGATGCGACAGGAGGGCGACCTTGAAAACCAAAACACACGGGAAGGAGGCAGGTTGGGTAGCTTGCTTGAAAGGTCCACGAAACTCACACGGAGAAAAACTTAGAAAGAGTGCATGGCCGCCTGAATCGGTGCCCGAGGCTGTGTTTTAAGAATCGGCGGCCGTGGTCAAAAAATCGTTTCGTTGCGCTGACAGGTTTATGTGGCCTCACGAACTTCGATATTTCACGATTCGTTCTGCGCAAATTAGCAGCCATTTTTGCGCTTCCACACAGTGCGGAAGGCATGCTGAGTTGAGTGTGAAGTGAGCGAGAACAAGTCCTAAACACGAAACGAATCACAAATTATCAAAGTCGGTAGGGTAGCATACGCGCGTGCACTAGACGCAGACTATTGGATATAGTCGGTGGCCGACGATATTGGCAACTGGCCTGGTCACTCCAGGCCGGCGACACCAACAACAGTACCAGCGATCAAAAAAGGGGTAGACGGCCGACCGGTCTTTCGAAAAATCGGTACACGGGCCTCGTCTGGCAATGCGGGGTGTTCAGAGTAGCGGGGGGACAAAGAACAGAGGGTTGCGTAGCATAAAGCAGTCGGGGCATAGAGGTAAGAAACAACTTTCCTTATTCCATGGGTTGGGGAGAGCGGCAACTAGAAGGTCGCGGAGGCAGGGTCGGCGTTTAACAATTAGAATGCATGGACACCTCGCCGATGCCTGATCGGTGGTCGAAATTGGTTTCCCGGGAAGTCGGCAGACCGCCGACTCCGTTCGCTGTAACCAATCAGCGGCGCTCGGAGACGTTCGTTGTAAGTGCGATTTTGAGCCATTGAACCGATGTATATTTTCACGGTCACGCGGATATTGTTCATTTTAAGCGAAATTTCGTTTTAAGTGGGGCCGTTATATGTGGGCTCGACTGTATGTGGAGCTAGTGAAACGGCCGCGGGCATGCTATGAGCGTGGTATGTTGTCAGCTTGTCAGGATTATCATGTTTGCACAAGTCATATACTTTCCTCATCCATTGACGTCACGTAACACCAAATTTGGTATACCGTATTTTCCGGTTTATAAGTCGCACCCTTATATAAGTCGCACTCCCCTCAAAATAGCAGTTTTTCTGAAAAGAAAACGTATATAAGTTGCAGCGGTGTAGAAGACGCACTTGCTCATCCGACCACCGACATTTAAGTATCTCGTCGTGACAATGCATTGCAAAAATGCATGCTTGCGACGGCCAACGCTTTTGCACGTTTCTAGCTATCGGCAGTCACGCGTGCGAGCGATTTTAAACACACATAAAAACAATACTTTCAGAAGTACCTTTATTATTCCGATAGCTTGGCGACGTTTATTCAAAGCCATCGAAGTCGTCTTCCTCCGAGTCGCTCACGAACAATGCAGCTACTTCTGGTTGCAGTACTGCTGGCACATCACTGTCGTCCTCCGACTCGCTCGAATCGGACTCTTCAACGTCGCCATCGGCCGCGCAGGGGATCAAACCGGCCTTGCGAAAGCCCGCCACAATGGTCTTCGAAGAAATTGACTCCCAAGCGTCGCTCACCCATTTCGCCACTTCGCCGAACTCTGCGCGTCTCATGCGCCCCGTTTTTGTGAAGCTGTGTTCTCCCTCCCACATCCACGTTTCCCACGAACGTCGCAGAACTGCCTTGAAGCTGCGGTTGACAGAAATGTCAAGCGGCTGAAGCATCTTCGTCATGCCGCCGGGAATAATCACTGGCATACAGTTCTTTGAACTGATCATTTTCTTGACAACATCGGTGATATGTGCCCGCATACTGTCCATTACCAGCATTCCTGGCTTCAGGTGGAAGAATCCGTCTGGTCGACGGGAAAAACAGCGGTCAAGCCACACACTCATCATTCCCTCGTCCATCCAACTTTTTGTGTTCGCCTGAATCACCACTGTAGGAGGGATATTATCCTTCGGCAAGGTTTTCCGCTTAAATGTTAGCATGGGAGGCAGCTTTGTGCCGTACGCGCAGCAGGCGAGCACAACGGTGAAGTGGGACTTCTCGTGGCCTGTTGTCCTCACCGTGACAGTTTTCTGGCCTTTTTCGGCGATGCTTCTCCCTAGTGGGATGTCGAATGTCAGCGGCACTTCATCCATGTTAACGATGTGGCTCGCGCTGACATTATTCTTCGCAACTTCCTCCCTCACGAATGAGCTGAAGTTGTCCAGTTGCACCTGAAAGTCGTCGGGCAGCTTCTGGCACACTGTCGTCCGGGCTCTCATAACCAGCTGATTCCGTCACATAAAGCGAAAACACCACGACGGACCACCATTGAATCCCGTAACATTGCTCTCCGCTGCCAGAGCCTTCGCCTTCAGGCGCAGCTGCACTGTTGACAGCCCTCTTCCTTCGGCTCATTGTTGCAGTACCCACGTGCGCAGGCTACGCTCGAGGTCCGGCCAGCGCGCATTCTTGCCGCGGTTGGCCTTCTTTGTCGACTTCATCGTCCGAAGGACGCTGTGGGCCTTGCGCCAGTCACGGATTATTTTTTCACTGACGTCGAATCGCCTCCCTGCTTCTCTGTTCCCGTGGTTTTCGGCAAATTCAACAGCGCGCAGCTTGAACTTGGCGTCATAGCTTCGCCGACTTTGCTTTCCAAGCAGCGCCATGGTTCGCGAGGTTCTACGGCGCTACCGGCTCTATGCTACGACGCACAACACAACACACGAGACGCGCGCAGCAACAGCGACACAGCGAGTGCAATGAAGACGTTATGGCGGGCGGAAGTGACGGTAATGGAAGTGGCTCTGAAATCCAAACTTGCTTTCCATAATTTATAATTTAAAAAATACCTCCAC